AATGAGATGGCATCTTATTGCAACCTGACAGCAGGCCAAGTGCTGGGTTAACATATGCCAGAGACACGGGAAACTGTGGAGCAACAGGGAAACCCCTTAAATGGGGAAATCCTCCAGACAGTAATGAAGTGATTAACTGTTAGTTTTATTCCATCACCAAATGTGTTTACATGTTTCCTGATGTCATCTTCAAATCTCTTTTTTCATTGACACAGCCAAATGGTCTTCCCTCCACTGCAAGAGGCTCCTCCTATATATGAATATACTTAGATGACTTTCACGTTAGTAAGGAGCTTTCACCCAGCTGTAAAGGGGAGACATATAGCCTGCACAAGTCCTGGGATAACCTCCTCTTTCCCCCTCACCACTATTTAAAGTCATTGGTTAGGCAGTGTGACAGGGAGAGAAAAGAAAGGCTACTGCTCACTTGGAGCTTCTCAGGCTTCTCAGGTAGGAAGTCTGGTCTGAAATTTCAGTTCATTAAAATCCCTACAGCTCGAGAGCTTCACCTTTCTGCCGAGAAGACACCCGTCCTGCACGCACCAGCTGTGGACTGGAAATCGCAGTACTTCTGAATCATCGGAAGGATTTTTAGCCTGGCATCTTGCAGTAGTGAGGCACTCACACTGTCTGTCTGTCAACACATCTGTCTGACACCTCCTTCTCAGCAACTGTTTAACCCTTTGGTTGGTTTTGAGCATTTTCGAGTGATGGGTAATGACCTCAGACCTTGGAAGGTCTTGCCAGTTTTGGGGAAAATCAACACCTGCTAATTGCAAAATATAAAAATTGGGGTCTGACTGAAAAGAGGCTAGTAGTAGCCTATATTCCCAGCTTTAAGAAAACACACTGGATGGGCAAACAGTGGCATGGCCCTGGCGCTGGCTGATAGCTCTGCGCCAGCTCGGCAGAGCACCCCATGGGGCTGCCCTGGGAGGAGGGAGAGGGGTTTGCTGAGGACAAGGTAAAATGGGGCTTTGGTGAGGCAGAGCACAGAGCATCAGGAAATCAAGCTTCATTAGTCCCTCTGCTCACAGAATGAATTTGTTATTAGGACTATGGTGATGTAGGTTTATATAGGTCACTGTGACAGTAAAAACATATCATTTTTATCTTCAGCTTGCTTGAGCTGCAGCATTTTTAATCCGCAGTATCAGCCTGACTGATTTATTACTACTTATAAACCACACTGACAAGGACTTCGTTTTATCTCTATGCACAAATACCCTGTTCCTAAAATACAGAAGATGCGCGTTGGCTGTCACTGTAAACAAGAGATTAGTCTCTCTTCTGATTTTGTGACATTGTCTCTCCATGCCCTCTCGAATATGTGTTACTGATCTAGCCTCTATCTCAGCCATTTTCTAATGTAAGGAAACCACATGGTACTTTTCTTTTGGAAATCTGGTATTTAATCCCTAAAGATATAAACCTAGATTGTCTTCCAGCATATATTCCCATTCATATCCCATTTATTCTCTATTATGGTCAACCATATTAGCTTGCTGAGAACATGTAGCATTGTTTTTCCCAGCCCTGACTGTGTATGGGCTCACTGACCTATCACCACCACTCTTCTGACTACGATCTTGGTTTTTACACTCAGCTTCAAACACATACAATTAAATTCTGACCTGATTCTAACAGCTACAATGTGAAAAAATGTATTTGGATAATATATCTTAAGGATGTAAAGGTTGGCTGCTGAATCCCACGGACTCCAGGACCCAGGGATCCCTCCTTGCTGACTGCTGCAGCCCAGCCAGGGGCACGCAGGGACTCAGGACATCTCTCCATCCCTGTCTGATGGACACGGCTCCTGTCCCTGTGTGCACGTTTGGCCAACGCCGAAGCTGAGCATCTGTCCCAGACAAGCACACACACACACACGCACATACACACAGAGGGCATCAAGGCAGCCCGACACACAGACTACCTGAGAGACCACTGCCTTTAGCCACAGTCACATAAAAACCAACAACCCTCACTTAAATGTAAGTAAGCCCAGTCCTGTTCCTCCTCTCTGGCTGATCAGGATTGAAGTCCTTTATGAAGTCCTTACCCAGCAAGGCTCTGACCTCGAGTCCTTCCAGATGCAGGCTTCCTCCTGCTCACCAACTAGTCTAGCTTGAAGTTTGCTAGCAAATTACACATACACGTGCACACAGGATTAAATTCACTGCAGGAAAAATAAATACGCTTTGGTATTTACAGGTGCTGCTATTTAGACCTCTCCCACATAAACATACACCCTGGTCCCTCCAGTTGCTGACATCTAGACCTCTCTGGCCCACGGTCCCTCCAGTTGCTACCACCCACACCTCTCTGGCATATCGGTCTCTCTAGTTGCTGGCACCAAGACCTATGGGGCCCTTCTCCAGTTGTTAGCACTTAGACCTTGCAGCACTTATACATAGGATAGAAAGTGAGATTACACAGAAAAAAAAAAAAAAAAGAAAAGAAAAAAAAAAGAGTTAAGTAAAGGATTTAATAAGAAGACGGGACAGACTGCAGCGATCAAGCAGAGGGCTCAGTCAGACAAGCATACTGACTGGCAGCTTGCACACACGACTGGCCCCTTTAGTACCCCTCTCCTCTGTCTTCCCACACTTGCTCCTCGCCAGTCCACCACCACCTTTCTCCACCTCCGGCCCTTCCCCTAAACATCCCATAACGAGCTTTGCACAGCCCCCCGTGCCCCCCAAACACCCCAGCGCACCGCGGGCAGCCTCGCTCCCCCTTCCCACCGCTTGGCGAGCGCCGGCTGCCCCGCTCCGCCGCCTGCCTGGGGGCCACTGATTGATGGCTAATGATGGGCTAATGGCCCATCAATCAGGGGCTGAGGAGGTCTGGTCTTTCTTATTGTCTCCCTTATCGCCTGCTGTTAGGTTTGTGTATCTGCGTGTTTATTTTATCACTTTCCTTGTTAGTTCTTCTGAACTGAAGAGTTTGAGCCAGATAACTTAATGAGGCGGACGCTCCCCCATTCCACATACCCGCACAATACACACCTTGCGAGCTCCGAGGTCGCCTCAGGGAGGAGAGGGATCCATGAGTTGAGAAGTTCATGACTAAATGGCTTTGTACAAGCAAGAGGGAAAATCCGCTGAGAAGGAAAAAGAGACCAGGCATCCTAGAATGACACAGGGCTACAGCATCCCACGTCTTCTTTAAAGCATGGGTTTCACTCTAATTGGACCTGGCTCTCCTGCAAAACTACCCGCATCAATCACGTTTAATAAAATTGTACAACTTGGAATTGTGAGTCACCTATAGCGGCTGCTTGATGTGTATTCCCGTAATGTCTTGAGTGATGCTCCAGAATGAGAAATTAGACTTCTCATTGTGAAAACCTGTGCTGCTGATGTCATTAAACTCATCCTAAAGACCACCCTGCTGGACTACCTCCCCTTTGACCAGAAGTAATGTCGAAGCAAATGAGATGTAGAAAAAACATTAGGGAAATACTTTCCAGAAGACTGAAATTTTCCAGCATAGTAAGAATAGTGAAGTGACAAGATCAGTCTCCTTGGAACATTCTGGAACAACCACTGGAGGTTTTTTTCAAGAGCAAGTCAGGCAAGAGATCTCCCAGGAGTGGCACGGTGCAGCTGACTCTGCACTAGTACATGGGACTGGACCAGACCAGTGGTTCCCAGGGGGGAGAGACTGAATCAGGGGGTTAAGGAATGTAGATCAGGCTAATAAGGTTTACTGGACATACGCTGAATAATACTTCTCTAAGAACCTCATCTTCCCTATCTATGAGAAGTCTTTTCTTCTCCACAAAGCCCCATGACTGTATTCTTAGAAAACAGCACTGAACTTGCGCTCCAATAGACAGAAGGGTGGATGGATAGTGGATTTAAAGCATCATTAGATCCTGCCGGTCTTGGGCTGCTCAAGTGCCCCATCACAGCTTAGCCCCGGAGGCCTGTCTAAACTGCTCAAGTCATTTGAGACTGGTGCAGACATCAGCCATGGTCATGCCCCAGGACAGACCAGACGCCCTCATAGCCTGACCCCGGGGCAACCTTCCCTGTCCCCATTAGACGCTCTTACTGCTACCTTCACAGCATCTGCTGCAAGGAAATCCCCCACAAATATACATGAGGCTTTTTGAGACAGCGCATTTAAACCCTTGCAGCCAGCGACCATAGCAAGGCTGATGTTCTCTACCCCAGATATTAGGGTGAAGAGCAGGGGAATTCCTTCACTTCGGTTCCCATGAGCGGGTTCCAGACCTGCAAGCAGTTCCTCCAGAGTCCCCGATCCAACCCACTACAATTGAACAAGTGCTATCTCTAAAATCCCAGTTTATGATATTAAGGTCATGTATTCTGAATACATACTCTGTGGTCCACTTCTCACCTAACATAGAATCACAGAATCACAGAATCATTTAGGTTGGAAAAGACCTTTAAGATCATCCAGCCCAACCATTAACCTAGCACTGCCAAGTCCACCACTAAACCATGTCCCTAAGCACCATATCTACAAGTCTTTTAAATACCTCCAGGGATGGGGACTCAACCACTTCCCTGGGCAGCCTGTTCCCCAGGAACATATTCCTTACCTTTCCCATTTGTTTATTTGGGAATTACTAAAGCCCTATACCATGCTGCTCAAGCACACCTTAAATAGCTAATATTGTTGTAGCACTCCTCTAGCCTACCACTGCTACACCAAACTGTACAATTTTTTATAAGGTCTGATTCTGCATCCATTTATGTATCTATATGAGAGGAGATTAAGTTCAAAGAAAAATAAAAGATGGCACAGAAGGACAGAGCACTGTGCATAGATGATACACTGTTAAACTTTCTGCCTACAAGGTAAAGAAAAAACGGAAGAGAAACAGGAGAAACAAAATGTTGAGTCTTCAAAAAAATCTAATCACTAAATGAATAAGGGGAAATGATTGCTTCTTTTTCTATCCACTTTCCCATCCCTCCCTTCCTCCTTCCCTCCCTCTCCCACAAAAAAAAGAAATCTAGAAATTAACTGCAGCAGAATCTTTTTCTGTTTTAAGCTATTAAATAATCATTTTTCCTCAAGAAACATTGATGATTTAACTGACAGTTTATTTTAAAAATAGATCAAGCCTTCGGTTGTCATGCAAGTGCTGTATTTTATCCCTAATGGAAATAATTAAACTTACTTAAACGCATGAAGAAGCAAAGAGGAAATAAAACAGCCATCCATCTTATTCAAAGGTCTACCCAGTGTCTTGATCAGAAAACATAAGATTTTACACAGCAGTGCTATAAAAGCTGAAAAACAAATATTCCATTCACCGTTGTCCTTGATCATTAACAAAGGGACAGGCTTTAGGATTTATGATAGTAGCAGGTACTGCAGTGACAATCTGTATGGTTCTCTATCTTCACATTGTCCTTAAGGGTAATCTTAAAGAAAGAAAACACACACACATAAGAAATAATTAGGATTAGCTAGACAGTAAAAACAGCATTCTCGAGTAAAAGATGTCTGAAGCCTTTTTCTTAACCATAAGGTACACAGGCTCTGTGGGGTACGTATACTAGAACAGCCTCTGAACGCCAACCTGCGAGGCTGCATCATCAGTGGCTTTCAGAGCCATAAAGAGAAAGTTTTCAAAAGCGACATAGTTTGGTGTCCTTAATTTGGCACTTCTTAAAGTGTCTGATATTCAAAAAGTGTCAAGTAACCAATCTATGAAAAATCAGGAAGTGTTCTTAGAGTTTTTCACACGGCGATTATAAAAACAGAGACCACAAACACGATGAGTCATTTTTATTTTTAATCTCAACCAAATTCTAGTTGCTGCCTCAGGGCAAGTATAATGTCAGTGGTCTAGAAAAAGAATCTATGCCCTACTCAGATGAAGAGCCAGGGTTCAGCCAGGTTCAGCTGTAGGTGTCTATAGGTAAGTCAGGTACCTGGGCTCTCATCACAGCCAGTGGAGACCCAGCACTTTGTTCAGCTGCGCACACAGAGCTGTCAACTGCCATTTGAGATATCAGAGGGGATCCCACCAAGCCTCCAGCTACCACTCCAGAAGGTCTTTTATGGGTCCTGTGTCTGCCAGCCGAACACAGATGTCTTGAGTACCCCAGGGTATTTCATATGGCACCAAATCTGTGAGTGGGTAACTGACCTGAGCCTCTAGTCAACACATTTAATGAGTCTGATTCAGATCACCACAGGATAGACACCTTAGCTTGTTTCAACTAGCTCACCATTTATTCAATGAAATTTAAGGTTTGTTCACCTGGAGCTGAATCACTCCCAAAACAGTCAGCTTTAGCAGAATCTCTCTTTAAGAGAGCCTTCCAGATGAGAGCATTAAATGCTCAAATAGTTGCACACATTTACAGTTCCCTCTTGGTTATACTATTAAAAGTAAACACAACCTCAATTAATCTAATGAGCACAGATGGTTTTGGTCCCTCATTCCCATACATGTAATTGATAGTATTGACCAGCCACCTTCCCAGAGAACTTCTGCCTATGCAGGAAAGACACAAGGAAAATGACTAATTAAAATCAAATACACACTGCATAGCATTTAAAGGGAGGGTGCATATCCAGGAGAGCTAAAAACAAGGGGACAACAAGTCCATCACCAGAACTTCAGGTGTCATGAGTCAAAGTAGTTTCACTGAAGTCAGTGACAGTGCATCAATTTCCACATCCCAACTGAATATCAGACTCAGTACTGGCTGACATTTTAATTTCCTCTTTAGAAAAAGAAAGAACCCAAGAGCAAAGGATATAAATGCCAAGGATGTTTCCCTCAAATAGTTCTCCAATGTCCTCCAGCAAAAACATATTTTTTTCTGTTCACTGGCTCAGCTAAACATTGCATCCTGAAACAAGCTTAAACGGGTCTCATTCACAGCCTCACCTTGGTAAAAGCCTTTGCTACGCAGCACGTTGCTTCTGATGTAATGTTCTTTGGAACGAGCATGGTCTTCTTGGACCTCATCGGAGTGGGATAGGCCCGGGAGAAACAGCACCCAGTGCACTGGTAAATGGGGGCTCCTGGCTTGGAAAAGAATCTGTTCTCCCCTAGCTTGCACTCTGGACAACCTGCCATAAAAATATAAGGAAGAACCTTTTACTTGGTCTCCAGCTGTATTTTCATTTTCATAAAGAAAGGGAAAGTGCGGGCAGTAAGAGGAAGCACTGGCCACATTTTGCTGCTTGATGCCTGCAGAACAGAAAAGCACAGACAGCAAAGCTCTCCTCTTTGGGGTCCTTCAACCCTGCAACATGCACCGTCTGTAAAACTAGAGGGTGGCTTTCTAGGTAAGGCACGAGCATCATTGTATCTTTTCTGGTTTTCTAACTTAATTTTGTTGACAGTTGTGGAGGCTTTTTTTGTATGTCTACTACACTAGCTGTCCCTAGAAAACTTCCTACTAGCTACAGATGGTTAAATAACACCAGCAGGACTTGTAGTGTTTCTTAAACATTGTCTGTTTTCAGGCAAGACTCTGTTATCAAGTTTTAAAAATGCCCAGTGATCCCGAGATTTTTGTAGCTCACATTTTTCTACATTCAGTTCGAGGCTGAATTAAAAAAAAAACAAAACGCAACCTCCAAAACACCCCTAAAATCTTCCTAATATGCTTCTTTCGTAGAATGCTACACCACCAACATCCCATATTCTGGGATCTACAGAGGACAAATTTTCTGCATATTATGAGGAGAAGCTATGGTTCTGCTGGTCCTGATGTTACGTTGCCATTTAGATCTCAGGAATACAAGAAACCAAAATGTTTCTATTTGATAATGTTTCAAGGATTAAGGTTACCCATGTCAACATGAGGACACAGTCATCTGTGAGGCTCTTGACCTGGAGAAATCAAGTTTAGAGAAGAAATAGGAAGTATATTTATAGCAAAATTACCTTGATTTATTATACCTTCATATCTCAGTGTCAATAAATGCAACTGAATGATAAGATTTATGACTGCATTTATAAAACATGTGAAATTTTAATTAATACTCTTTACGAACAATTGCCCTATTTCTGAATGCTGAAAGCAGCTTACCCTGCATGAGAAACTCTCCATCTGGGAAAGCATGAAGAAGATGCAGAAATACAGACAAAATGGTCAAAGTGACAGCTGCATACTTCCCGTAGCAACCCATGATCTTTCTGGAAATACAAATAAATACATTTTTAAGGGACTGTTTTGCATTGGGTACAGTACCAGCATCTAGGCTACACACTGATAGAGCATTCAGCGCAAGTAACAGAGACAATTTAGAACCAGGATTAGAAAATGAAAATGCAGTGTACTGATGTGCATTTTATAGGCTCAGAAAATTGACTTCACCACTATAACAAAATTGTGCCTTTCTTTCTGGCCTTAACAGTTTTTTCTGAATATTAACATAAACCACAGCACATAAACTTCAAACGTCATAACTGCCTAATATTTACGGTAGACTGGATAAAGCCAGCAAATGCTTATGGGAGGATGAGAGAATCTGCAGAATCTGAGCCATGAAAAGACTAATTTAAGGGGAAATAATTTCACATCAGGACATAATTTCCTGAACCAAGAGTCAGATTATTTGTTCACACACTGACGTCTTTAGCATCAAAGTCCCCATAAACAGATTTTCCCAGTCCTGTCCCTCAGTGGGCAAAAGCTCCTCTGACCCTTGTAATTAGACAGGCACTATATGCTGTGCTCCAGAGCACCCGAGGGGACAGGGTGCTGAGAGAGAGCTCAGGAGGGCTTGAAACAGCCCTGGGGCCACCTGCATCGCATGGAGGCCTCGTCAGGGCAGCTCAGGGTCAGGGTGGTCCTGGGGAGTTCAGCATCTCTGCAGCCTTCTGGACCAAGATTTCTTTCAGGCTTCATTTTCCTGATGCAGCAAATAATTGACTTTTGGGTGCTGGTACAAACACACCCCCAGTCAGCTCAAACTTTTACAAATTTTTTCAATAGATTAATTTTGTGAAAGAAGGCTACATGCAGCACTGCACATCCATCCTTCTACTGCTAGCTCACAAGATGAAGTGGCCGTAAATAGCATATTGCATGTTCTCTGGGTAATTCAACAGAAATGCAGTTGTGTGGCTATATTTGATCCAGATCAAAGGGTAACGCGTATCTCTGATATGAATAACTGGGGGAACCACAACATTAAAGATGCAGAATATGTAAATTGCAACTGTACGAATATTGTCCCAAATTCTTTGCCTGATTTTTTAAAAAATGAATTCACTTTTTTTCATTATTATTCACAATAAGATGGGGACACACACACACACACACACACAAATCCTCAGTTCTCTCCATATCCAAATATCAGATGTACTAAGTAAGGGATACATGCAGATCAGTAGGATCCTTTTTGGTAATTACCACAGGACCTTTAAAATTATTCTGAAGCATTCTGTACCAGCCTGGTCAGAGATAAAAAATGGTCATAAATTGGTCATAAACTGGTGTTTCTTTTGAGCTAGAGAACTCCTATGTGCCTGTGGCATGGCCTGGGAGGACTTCCCTTAACTGAAAAGTCAGGCAGGATCTGAGGCTAAAGATGCCACATGCATTTCTGCAACTTCATATTATAAACATCTGGCCAAGTAATGCTTCTTTTAAAAATCTTGGATTCGTCTGAGCTATGGACACATAAAACAAAATACCGAACCTCACTTCTGCTCTCATCAGTATTAAAATGTAGTATTTTAGGCATGAAGTTTGTAACCTTCCTTCTCAAGCACTAAGCTTCCGCATTGTACTGACAATTTCATTGTGCTTAGTCAAAGACCATTTTGGCCCAGTCTCTCACCCAGAAAACAGAATTTCCCCCTTAAAAAAATATTTTATTCCAAAGCATAGACCTGAGCCCTTACTTTAGAAATGAACAGGAATTACTTATATCCCACGGTGAAGTAATTGGGTCCATGGAGAAAAGAGCCATATAAAGGATGCTGAAGTATTAAATTCCCAAACGGGGGCAGCCTGTGCAGGTGACAGAGACAGCAGCACTCCTTCACCCAACCTGGCTGGCCAGGTGTCCCTGGCCTTGCCTCGGGGGATTGAGTTTCAGGGTCTTTTTATTGCTGAGACACAGAGCACATTTCAACAGGGGGACTTTCCCTGCCCTTGCAGATTACCCTGTGAGGGATTCTGGGCTGAGCACTGCTCACCTTCACCTTGAAGAGATGGTCCTTGGCTGTGGCTGTGCAGCAGTGCCTGGTTCACCAGCCCCAGTTGTTCCTGACTGGCTTCAGACAAGCACCCCAGGCAGCATCCCAAGCCCACAGCTCCTCATCACCATACTCTTTACCTGCCTTCTCAGAAACGTTATCTGATCGTGCAGATCTCTCCACCTCTGCAGTCACCCCCCAAGGCCCTGCCGGCAGCTAACCGAGGGCTTATTTGGGCTGTGTCTGAACTGCAGCGCTGACGGCATCTCCAGACTCTTGCAACTGGATCTTTTGAACAGTTTCTTCTATGCCTACATAGACCACCTGATCCCTTGACTTTAAAAGACTGAAACTGTCACACAAGAGCATGATGTGCTAATGACTGATGTGCAGGATAAGGCCCCAAGCTGACAACACTGAAATATACATTTTAGATACTGGAAGCTACTGTGCTTTGCAAGCAAAAGAAAAAAAAAAAAACAAACCCAACCCCTAACATTCAATCCTTAACTACTTAAGAGCTTCTCTTCTTCCAAATACACCAGTCAATGCTGCTACTCCATGACAAATATTCTCTAGGGACAGAACAAATTGTGGCACCAAATATTTCTAAAAATGAGGTGGCAATGAGAGGGACAATAATGCCAGCAACAAAGAAATTGATCTTGAGATTTGGTGTAGAGGTTATTTAAGCATGCTCCAGTGATTAGAGAAGGAACTGACAACCCTAGCCAGGAAAGATGGTAGAAAATTGAGAGGGGAAAGTATAATTAAACAAAGATAGTTTTCGCATAATGGAAGCATCTTTCTTTTCAGATTTTGCACTTACACAGCAGAATCCCCGCGACAACTGCCACAACGATGCAAATTTTCAAATAATGCCTGCTTACATCTGAAGTCAATCGGATCCTGTATATTAGGAACCTGCCATATAAAATCACAGCGGAGGAAATGTATGATATTTTCGGGAAATATGGGCCTATTTGACAAATCAGAGTTGGAAACACTCCTGAAACGAGGGGAACAGCCTATGTAGTCTATGAAGACATATTTGATGCCAAAAATGCTTGTGATCACCTGTCAGGATTCAACGTGTGCAACAGATACCTTGTCATTTTGTACAGGACCTAATATACAGGATCCGATCTGCAGGGACAGGCAAACTTGAGGTGGTCCAAGGAATGAAACTACTTGCCTGGTATGATTATCTGAGAGTGAATCTGGAGCACTGGGATGTGTGCAAAGAGAGTATTGATTAGCAGAGGGACACTCCCTCACTGCACAAATTCCCAGAGATATATGGGGACATGAGGCTGCTATGCACCGGTCAGCAGGTCTTGGTACATTGATCAAGCAGACATATAACGCAGTCATCAAAGGTAGCAGTTCAGATTGCAGCAGAGCACAGGCCCTACAAGGTAGCTTTGAAACCAGGACAATGATGGAAACAAAATCAAAGAGAGCTCCATCCTTGTAGCAATCAGAAAAAGATCATGTCCAGGCAGATGAGGCTGAGACCAAAGGCAGGGTGACAAGAACAGGGCCCTTGCCTGACTGGGGTTAGCAAAGTGAAAAGAAACAAAGTTTATGAGCAAGACTGATGCACAATGCTCTCCAGTGCAATGAATGAAGACACAAAAGTGGAAACAAGCCTCCTTCTAATTAAGACAGCAAAAACTAGAGGTGAGAGACTGATTTGAAGCCCAGCTAAACTGAATGGCTAAGAGGCCAATGAGGTTGCAATTAATGGGTGGCAAGGGTTGGGTGCTGGGTACAAGTAACTTTGCCTCCGCCCTCCCACCTGTCCAGTGAGTCAGTCCATGCTGGCAGAAAACAGAGGATAAAGGAGTTAAAAGCAGACGATAACGAACAGGAAGAAAAATCATTGGCAGCAATTGTGGAAGCACTGGAAAGAAGCATTTGGAAGAGGTATCAAAAAGCCAGTTCAATGTATGTATGTATGCATGCAGGCTGAGTGCAATCTGTAGTTACTCATCTCTGCTTGGGATTTTACCAAAAACCCATCTGAGTAGAAGAAATAGTATTCTGATATTAGTCAACAGGTGGCAAAGGAAACAGGGGATGCTGTTAACATGGTAGTCCCATGGAAGCGTTGAACGTGGCTCTAAGGTTTCTGAGAAGTGGCTGCCAGCTCTCTGCACCCTGTTCCCTTGACAAGAGTAACCTGTGTCTGCAGGAGAAAGGGGGTCCTTCACACCATTTAGATCCACAGTCTCCTATGGTCCTGACAAACGTTTTGGGAACTGAACTGAGCTCAGCCACATCTATGGAGTCGCGCTGAATAAATTGGCTGGATCGCTCCCTCCAGCAAACAGGGCTTTTTTTAAGGTTATTATTTTCTGTATATGCTCTTTCCAGCCCCATAGAGGTGGTGTGACTGCTGGCAGACTGTGGGACACAATCCCACAGTTTTATGTCAAGCCCTGCTCCATCCAAGGAGACATTCCCCAGTGTGAGGAGCCGGCTGGAGGGGCTCATGCACCAGCAGAAGACAGTCAGCCATTTCCAAACAACCTGTTTCCACATCATCCTGAGCTTTTTGATAGCCTGGATGCTCCAATGGCTCCGATAAGATGCCAGCCACAGGAATAACAAAACCCTTGCCTGATTATTCTGTGATTTCATGCTCTTTGCTGAAGGCACAGTGGCATTCTCCATCCTAATTTTTCTGAGAACACATAATGCTATGATTCGGTACATTATAAGGGTTTGAGGCAATCCCAGAGGGAAGTTGTTTAAATTACATTAACCAAAAGGGGAATTGAAATTGCAGTTTTGCACTTCCTCTATTGAGTCAGACTGCCAGGCTCATACCAAAACCACCAAAGATACCTGTCAATAAAACCCAGATGTGATCTTCTCTACTTTTCCAATGTGACAGGCATTTTGCCTGATGGTCTTACTTGGTTTTCTGACTGTGCCCACACTGCTAACCCAGTTAGTGTCTGCACCACTGATTTCATCTCACCATCAAATCAAAGGAAACTTTCACTTTGCTCTATTAAATATTATCTTTCTTAAGCCATTGGAGCATTATATAATGCATAAATTTAATCAGCTCTTTGGAAAGATGGTAATTTAAAGTCTTCTCCAGCAGTTAAAGTCTCACCTCATTTACAATATCTTGCCTTTTTCTATAAATAAGTTATCATATTATCAGTTACCATCATAAAGACAGGCAAATATAAATACAGATCATCTGTATTTGCAAACAGGTCTTTTGTTGAGGTACAAGTGGGACTCTGTGGATGCCTTTACATTCATGTCAAGCTCCACTGGATCAGAACCCTTCGTCTAACTCTGCGGTCCATGTCCTGGCACAGACATGTTGGTGAGCTCTGTTCAATGGGCATCCTTTGTACTGGTTGTACAAAATAACTTAATGTTTTCAGCATAAACTTGGGACGTCTCTCTATACTTTTCCATGGGGTGACAGTGCTGCTGTCGTACCCAACAGCAGTTAACCACTTTGCACATTGTGTTCATATCTTTCTGGGATGCTTGGCCATGAGGTACGGCTGTGTCACAGCAATGACAAGAAACAAGTGCCAGCGCTTCACTTGCAGCCCAGTGTCATGTACACAGTAACCTGTCAGCAAACCCAGTGTCATGTACAGAGTAATCTGTCAGCAAACTGCTGAAGAAACAAATCTTCACTAACTTTTTTTTCCCTTCCCTTAAGATATTTAATCATGACTGGCAATTTAAAGACTCTAAAAGATGTGTTAGTACCACAGGTTGTGTACCCTTTGACATTTGACAGCAACACCATTGACCAGGAGAAAAACACAAAGTTACTGATGAAGAATTACCAGACCTGATCAGAAATCACAAAATGTCAACATTTAGCTGCAATACAATTCTAGAACCTCATTTTCTCTTACTTAGAAAGCTAGTTTAACCCCAAGCACTGATGGTTTAATCTCAAAGCAACCTTTAAGTTAATTTTCAAAATAAAAACTTTGACAGAACGGAAGGAGAAGAAAACTTTTGGAGAGAAGGCAAAGAGAATGTAAAAAAATATGTAATTGTTCCTCTTTAACAATAACAAAAATTAAAAATATATTACCTCCCTTGTTCAACAAGAATAAATCAGACAGCTGAGAAACTGCAGGATGGTGTTTGAAGGTGAGCTGTCCTTGACGCTTGGATGTACGTTCCCAAAACTAATGTTTGAAAAAGTTGCATCTTTCTTTTATACCAGTAAAGCTAGATCATATTCCTTGCCCACATCTAAGCCATAGGATCAACTGTACATTTTATCTAATGACTGAACATTACTTTATGTAATTACCAGCCCACCATGCTGATCTTATCTTCGACTCGACTTTCATACAGATTATTTTTTTTCTTATGATGTAATGAAAGAAAGGTCAGCTTGCAAGCACAAACTCAGTGCTGTATGAGTTTCCTGGGGAACTCAAATATCGAGCATCCAGTCATTTGCTGCAGTTTTCAGTGAACAGAATCTCATTTTAAAAAAGGAAGAGTTACTAAGGTTTCCTAACACTTCTTATTAAACTGGAGAATAATATTTTTTTAAAAAAACATAAACCACTTCTACAGCAATGGCATTGTTTTAGCAAAGAATAACAAAATAAAGAGCAGCAGAGATCTATACAAACGTTTAAAAAAATAATCTCCATTTGAATTTAATGCCCAGAGAACGAACACATGGATAAATATAGGATTACCTTTATAAAGATAAGATTTCTGGCAAGATTTCATCTTGTTTTTAGAGTAAAGCTAATGCAATGGAGGGATTTCTGAAAACTGCACCAGGGTGCAGATTTTTAAGGCTTAGGGACTTCTAAGTCCTCAATTTCAAATGACAGAGTCTGTGCCAATGCTGGCTAAACAAGACAGGTCCCACTCTGCCTTCTGGCACCGAGGCCGAGTGGCACAGCAGGGTTTGCATCCACTCAACTCTTCCCTTCCCCTTCCCAAAGGGGAGGTGCACATCCAAACACCTACTGGGAACAGCCCCTGGCAATGCAGACAGTCCTGGGTCGGTGCTCAAGGCCATTCCTGCAACCCTATTGTGTTTTCAAGTCCTGGAGACTTGAGGGAGATTCACTTCAGATGCCAGAAGTTCACTTCAGAAGTTAACTGCCTAAATCTCAGTTACTCGCTCTAGACTGCCTTTATAGTCACTGGAGATAAATAGCCCTAAACATCTATTTCGACACAAGATTAAGTCACTTTTCCAATGCACCTGTTTTCACCACTGAGAGCCCCGGGGTAACTAGCTTGGACTGCTCACTGTCCTACCCTTAGAGCGTAACAAATATTTTATAGCTTTAAGAAACTCCTAAACATCCAAAGGGTTAAAATTACTTTTTACACACCTACTTTTTGTCACTCATTGTTGGAGGTGCGATATTGAAAGAGACCCCTATAGCTTCTTGTGTTCCTATGAAAATGAGACTTTGATTCGCGATTCAATCAGTCTCTTCCAAAATGTTTATTGTGTAGTTGGATTTAGTGAATTGCACCTGTCCAGATTTCTGTCGTTCCGTTTTCTTATTCCTTGCCTCGACTCTCTTTTTAATAACAGCAGCACCCCCGAACTCTGTTAGCTATTTCAGATACATTTATCGCAACCTTATCACCTCTGCCTTCACTAACACCCTCATCTGCTTCAAGGTGTCAGACACCTCTTTTTCTCTTCTATTTGTTCAACTGATCACTATAACAAAGTTAAACTCAAACCAATTGTCCCCAGCCTACACTTGGCTTGAAATTGGCTTCTGTTTCAAAATTGAAGATGGATTTCTGCACCTGGAAGCTTGTCTGGTTTTTATCCAACAATATGAGCTGATCTAATAAAAGATAAATAAAAAAAAAGTCTCTCTCCCTATGATCTTGCTTCATTTAATAACAAAAGCATAAGGCTGAAATTTGAAAGCTATTGGTAAACATAGTTTACTGAGAAATATTCCCCTGGAAGACAGAAGCTTAATATTTTTTGTCATTCAAAGCAATATTGATGAAAATTGCTGAAGTTTATAGAGTGCCTCTGACTTGTCTGCCCTGCCCATTTCATACTCACCCCAGCTTGCAGTCCTATGGGAAACCCAGGATGACTTGTGATGCTCCACAAAAAAACGGAAAACTATCATCTCCATCATCAGGAAAACAAGCAATGATTACATTGCATATTCATACGTGATACTTATTTACCTATGTATTGTAGCACGCCATCAACTAGTAAAAAGGAAATGCTATACAAAATAGTTCTTTCATTAGAAGGACCCAAGTACAGTGACAATGCCCGCCCCACGGCATAAAAGAAAAATAAGTGTCCACAACCTGGTACCCTTTTCCTATCAGAATGTATTAGGAATAAATCTTGTGAAGTCAATGGAATTACACTGGTATAAAAGATAGTTTAAAAAAAGCTCCTATTTTTATTAAGAGGATTTCTTAGTTTAGCCGCTCCAAATCTCCAACTAAAAATACTTGGTCAAATCTGTCTTAATGTGTGACTGAATGAGAAATGAGAGAACGTGGCTCACTGTTTTAGAGGGGGGGGAAAAACCCTCTAGTTTATTAAACAGGGTATTCTTAAATCGCTTAGCAATACTCTTACAGGTTTTTGCTACACTGTGATATTATGATTTTATGGTCTATATAAGTACATGGATGAAAAATGTATATGCCAAACTGGACCATCGAATATGCTTTGCCAAGATCAGTATTTTGTTTTCTATTTGTAGGAGCAGAAAAAGTCATTCTGAGGTGGAAAAAGGCAATAAACTGCTAAAACTTTCAAGTTTCTTTGAGGCCACTGTGTTCCTAAATTGGACTGGGACTCTTATTAAGCACCATAAGTTAAACTAAATATTGCATTTGTTAAGACTGAAATCAGTCTGAACTCAGCACCTAAGCATTATGGAGTTTCAGAACTTTTGGCTCTCTTTTAGGAGCTGGGTCCTTACAGCTCCTTCTCTGGCTTTCTCTGGAAAGGAGGGTTCATGTCTCTTCCCTTGCTCTGCCAGATGCTGTCTCAGGGTATCTGTCCTACTTCCCTACTTAGTGATATCTGCTTATCTACAGGCTGCTTCCTGATGCTGCCTCTTCCTCACTAGAGGAAAGCTTTTCTATTTTGCCACTCAGCGGAGTTGCAGGGCATCCCCCAGCACTGTCAGTAAAAGAATGGGAAACGGCTCCCTTGCTTCAGACAACAAACTCTTTTATTCAAAAATAACAACTCCACTTTATCAATAAACAGACACCCCCCCCAAATGTGGTCACAGATTAGCACTATTAAACACTATTTAAACTATTAGCACTATTAAACACAATTTACCTACTTTGAATAAGGGTAATACAAGGTTTGCTATACTATAGACTAGCAGAAAGGACAATCCAGAGCATACCTACATTTTTTTTTATTCACTTTTTGTATTCTTCAGAACTATTCCTGCCTTCTTTCTTGATTTTGCTATTCTTTGTAGATAAGCAAATGAGAAGAAACAACCCTTAAAATGAAGTTCAGATAGCATTATTGGCTTGGATGGACAAGCAGGTTGAGTTCTGGAGGATTTTTTTTTAATAATAACTAAATCACATTTCAGAACCTCCTGCAAATGCAGCCAAAATCCACCCTTCATCATTTGTGCAAACTCAGAAAACAGCGGCCCCCCCCTTCTGAGAATGGAAGCTATCACGTACGCTCACTGAACGCCAGAAACTCCTCTTTCCTTTGCCCTTGCGGTCTTTGAATATCTCCTTGGCTTTTTTCTCCAGCCCTGCCCTACAAGCTGACACAGTACCCACAAGTCCAAGCCTGCACCAGAAGGCATCCCGAAGCACTGGTACTATCTCTTGCATTTTGGGTGTCACTTCCTTAATTTCTTGTGTTATCTTCCAAGCATCCCAGGAGGAGAGAGGCTCCCACATATCACAAGCTGCTCTGCACTGACGCAGGCAAATTATCAGAGTTGCTGAAGAGAGATAACATTGAAAAGTCCCACCAGAATGACTGAGAGTAAGATTTGCTGGGGATTCAAGGAAAAAAGAAGCAACTCGAGTGTTAAACAAAAAGATAGCAGGTATTTCAATATTTTACTGAGTCTCCCAACTCCTTCCCGGTTTGCTCGTAACTTTTCCAGTTGCCCTGTGTCTGTTCTCAGAGACAGTAACACCAGCTCAGTAGATGTACACTTAAACAAGGCTCCCCAGGACAATGGCAAATACAGATAAACACCATTCTGAAATAAAGAGCTCCTGTCTGCCAAAATACTTCATACCGTATTATGCGTAGAGTGAAAGTCAAGTTTTCTGTTCTTTTACAGATGTTTTCAACTGATTATCTAAAATTACCTCTCAAAGCAATACTTTTTGGCCTCATCCTCCTCCGCTTAAAATCAATAGGAGTTCTGCCATTATTTCAAATGACACTGGATCAGGACTTTTAAGATTAGCTATTAGTGTTCTCAAGCTTCAGCCAAACATTGATTATTCTGAGATAATAAGGCTTTCAGTACTTACTGCACATAAATAATTGACTGCAAAGCCTCTCCTATTCTAAAACCATAGTGTAAAGAGGGTTCACTAATACATATTTTTTTTTGTTTTTAAAGGAATTAATATTACAGATGGTGGCACTTCAGAAATATGTGCAATAATCATTATTTCACTAAAGCTAAGTAAAATTTGTGCCTCAAGAAAAATAGTAAGATTATAAGGAATACATACACTTTTTTCCCCTTTTTTACTGTAACTTGTCAACGTCAAAACGTTTAATCATGCCATGTTATTAGGCAACTTATGGTACTGACAGAATGATGGCTTCTGTTTAGCTCTGTTTTCATGCTTCTTTTTGGAAAAGTTTATTTGAAATCCAATTCCTTTGAGCAAAATTAGAATATATAATATTACAACTGTCACAGCATTGTGGAACAGCAAACAGAATGTCATTAACATGTAGGTTTGACCTCAAGGGCTTTAGAGATTGTATTTCAATATTCTTTTTCTCTACTTTTAATTAATAAAAGTAACTATACCTCATATAATGACTAAACCAGCTCACAAGGTCAGGAAGGACTACTCCTGTTGCGTATAATGCTGCTCAGTTGAAGTAACCAGGTTTGTTAGACTCCTGAAACATTAAGTGCTTATTCTCAGACAGAGGTAAAACACTAGACTAGATAGACTACTGAT